CCCCCCCGCCCCGGACTGTAGCCAGTGAGACTTGCTTGGCTTGGACATGCCAGGCCTTAGCCATATCCTGGTTGTAGCCTATGGGGACTACAGATAGCTGCAGGTCTGCAGCCCAAATGGAAGTGCATTTAAGTTATCTAGATGGCTAGAGACCATTGGAAGAGCTGGCACCCGCCCAGAGCGTTCCCGAGTGGCCTGGGTCAGGCTGGTCCATTACAGCTCAGCACATTTGCCTGGAAGTGGAATAGGATCCGGTGGGTTGCAGGAGGGGCAGCTCCTGAAGTGGATGATGGGTGGGGGAGGTGAAAAACTGGACTCTTGGAAACTGGTAGTACAGGAGACACTGAAATGGACTGATCCATTACTGCTAAATCCACTTCTCCTTCCTGGGCCAGGCTGTATATGCCCTACATGCACTGGGAGAGTCTTTGTGTCCTATTCTGATGCGTGGTGGGTAGCTGTGGCTTTTAGGCTGCCTTTCCTGAGATAAAGGGAATGGCTCTATGTGTGGAGGAGCGCAGTCACAACTGAGCAGGCTGCTGCCTATATGGCTCTGTTCAGCCTGCTGCCCTGCTTCCAATGGCCTGAAGGGATTTTCAGCCCCCATGACGCTCTCTCCCCTCTTCACTGGCAGAAACGGAGCCTCCTTGTGTTCTTTGACATGGCGTACCAGGGCTTTGCCAGTGGGGACATCAACCGGGATGCCTGGGCTGTGCGGCACTTCATCGAGCAGGGCATCAACATCGTTTTGGCGCAGTCCTATGCCAAGAACATGGGGCTATACGGTGAGCAGAGCGGCAGAGACTGCTTCATCCAGGATGCTGGGGGGACCCTCTGCCTTCAGCTATCGGCCAGTGTCTTTCTAGATATACCTGGCAGTCACCCAGTCCCAGCTGCTCCTTGTGCCCATCCAGTAGTATTGAACAGGGCGCAGGAGGTAACCTGCTGGGAGCAAATGAAGACCCTCTGAGAGAAGGAGGATTCTCATAAGGCTGTGTGGCTTTCAGACAGGTCCTGCCCCAGCCCTTGGTATCCAAGGGCAGAGGCTGGGACCTGACTGCCATTTGTTTAGGGGAGCGTGTGGGTGCCTTCACGGTGATCTGCAGTGATGCAGAAGAAGCCAAGAGGGTTGAGTCGCAGTTGAAGATCCTTATCCGCCCCATGTACTCCAACCCTCCCATCAATGGAGCCCGCATCGCCTCTCTCATCCTGAACAGCCCTGACCTGCGGAAGGAGTGGTAAGAGGGAACCCCTAATGTTCACGGTAGCAAGATGTGAAGTCTCTCTGTGCTAGCCTTGTGGTGTGCTTGCTGCTTGGCAGTGTCACAGGCAGTTCACCGCTTCAGGGGTACAGTCAGAAGCTTGTGCCACTCCTTTGCCCCGGAGGAATGGGAGCCTACTAAGATGCTTGTGTCCTGGCATCAGCTAGGATCAGTCCAGCCGAGCACATGTGGGTTCCCCTTGTGTTACCAGGGCAGAGCACACTAAAGGGGATAAGGCTCCACCGGGATTGAAGGCTGCAGGAGCTGCCTGTCCAAGGAGTGCAGAAGGCTGACTAACGCATTGTAGTCACTTAATATGTCTCACATGGGGGATGTGGAAGTTTAAGTCCCCTGGGAATAAGACAGAAGAATGTAACCTCCACACCCCAAGCCTGCTGCCTGGCATCAGCCTGTGCTGCCCTCCCAGGCTCTTGGTGTTGAGTCCCTGCAGGAAGCTGGCCCTGCAGAACAAAGGCTCGCTGTGTATTGTGGCCTTGCTGGGAACTGTGCTCCTTTGGCAGGCTGACGCTTGTGCCTGAGGCAGGGCCTGACAGAGACATCTCCTAGGTGTGCTGCCTTGGAGTAGGGAATGTCTGCCTGCTCTGAGAGGTCCCCCGTCCTCTCCATGTATCCCCAGATACTATCCTATGTGGTTTTGGACAGTGCTGCCACGAGCCCTCCAGGTCTCCAGCGTCTTTTGGAAGTGAGAGGTGCTGAGACCCTGTTAGCACTGTGCAGCAGCTGTGGAATAAATAAATAGCAGTCACCTCCAGATACCAGGAGAAAGGAGCAGCTCCCCAGCTGGAGCAGTAGGTTCATGCTCTGAGCTTTGCTCACCTGCCTACTGTGTGTGCCACCTAGAGAACGTGTGCCCGTGGACAGTGGTTGGGTTATACATCCTATGTTTTTGGGGGGGGGGAGGGGGAGGCTTCCTCAGGCTTGAGGAAAGGTTGCTTCCCAGGCAGTTGGGGAAGGAGCAGTGTCAGTGCATCCCGGCTGTGCTCTGAGTGGTTCCTGGGTTGCCTTCTCAGGCTGGTGGAGGTGAAGAGCATGGCCGACCGGATCATCAGCATGCGAACTCAGCTCGTGTCCAACCTCAAGAAAGAGGGATCTTCCCACAACTGGCAGCACATCACTGACCAAATTGGCATGTTCTGCTTCACAGGGCTGAAGCCTGAGCAGGTAAACACTGTTCTTGTGGCCTCAGGGTGTTTGTGATCCTTTCCAGATGGATCTTGACTGTGCTAAAATGAGCCCATATGAACAGTCCCCCCTCCATGAGGACCATCCTCCAAGCCTGCAGCACTGGAGCATCTTGGAGACCTGTGTCCTGCCCTGCTCCCTGCTGTGCTTATGGAGGTTGAAAGCAAATGTAGCCTGCTTATCTGTCAGAGGAAGCGATCATTTAATGCCACTCTGAGGTGACCTTGAGGGTCAGCTCAAGTGAGGTGACTGTCCTGGCTGAACATCTGAAGTGCTTGTGTGTTGCCCAAGAGCTGAGCAGCATCTTTTTTTTCCTGACATGCACCGCTGGCTCTGCAGGTAGTTGGTGTGGGTTCAGCGCCTGCTGGCATTCGGTTGCTTTTGTTTCTGGCAAACTGGATGGATTTGGACTCTGTTAACAGAGTAGAGCTTGGCCTACCTTTTGAACTCTGCTCTTTCATCCCAGGTGGAGCGGCTGACCAAGGAGTTCTCCATCTATATGACGAAGGACGGCCGAATCTCTGTGGCGGGAGTTACATCGGGCAATGTGGGCTACCTGGCTCACGCCATCCATCAAGTCACCAAGTAAAGGTGTGCCCTGGAGCTGTTGGCCTTCCCTTCCCCTGTCTCTTGTTGCTGATGGGAGAACGGGAGAGGAAGGAAGCAAGCAGAATACTTCCAACCACAGCACTTAACGCCGCTGCTGAATGTATCTTGTAGATGAATTGTTGTAGAGGCCTAGTCAAAATCACCCTACATTGCTGAGTGGGGGCACCATTGCTGGCTTCTACTCCCATCAGAACCATTCTCCCCTGCTGTTCATCCTTTCTCCATCTGCCCCAGCACCCCTCTGCAGTGGAGGAAGCAAATGGTTAGCACCCTGCTATCCTACCAGTGTAGGCACAAGTGCATCCTCACACTCATTTCTCCATGAGAAGGCTTTGTAAGGCTGTTTGCCACTTGCCAGCAGTGGAGGGGCAGCGGGGTGGGCTGAGTGGGAGAGCTGCTGAGGTGCACTCCTGTGACTTCCCCAGCCTGTCCCCGCTGTCTGCAAGTTCTGTCCTCCTTCCCCCTTCTGCTGCTAGGCTTTGGTCTAGCCAAGGGCCAGGCAGCACTGAAGGCTGCCCTCTGACAGCCAGCACAAAGGCTTTGAGGACTTTTCACTACTAAAATCTGCTGCATTCTTGGCTTAGCTCTTTCCAGCTGGGAACCTCCTCTCAGGTGTCATTCACAGTGGTGTTGGTGCGTGAGGCAGGCCAATGTCATTTCTCTAAACCTGCCTGGTTCTCCTGGCTTCGCTCCCATACTCCAAGGTGAAACAATTACTTGCCCCTCAATAAGAACATACTCTGAAAACTACTCTTTGTTGGTTTTTGCCTCTCCGAGTTTCTGTATCAACCCCATCAGTCCTCCCTGCAAAGAAGAGTCTGTGTATGTGTGTGTGTCCCCCAAAGCCATGAGCCAAGATGTGGGGCCAGCCATGTGCACCCTCACATGGGGGTGTGTACCATGGTGTCCCCCTCTTGTCTGCTGTGTTCAGCCAGACTTCGGGTGCTGTTAGAAAGCAGGGAGGAAAGATCCTGAGGGAAGTCTGAGAGCTGGTGACTCAAGAAAACGTTCTCTCTTTTTAAACTGAGACTTGAGAGGGCAAGGGCAGACCCTGCCTATAGGGCAGACCTGGACTCCAATCTTTCATCTAAAGTAAGCTGACACATGGCTGTGTTGAGTTCCTGCTATAATAGTACCGCTGGATCCCGCCCCTTCCACGTACCAAACATTCCCTCTCAGGGATGTGGCAGCACAGGGGATCTCATATGGCCAGTGAAACCCTGTCTTTGAAGGGTCCCCCACAAACAGTGCAGTTCCCACCCAACCTTGTGTCCTGAACGCGCCAGGGCACGTGGACTGAGACTGCTCCAGGTGGCAGTTAGGGTCGTGCAGCTAAAATTGCAGCCTACTCAGCTGAACGTAGCTGTTGTGTTTCTTTTTTGTTTGTTTGTTTGTTTGTTCTCTCTGGGGAGAGTGTGAGTGCGCAAAGGCAGTCTGCCCTGTGCCCAGCCACTGAAGCAAGGTGGAGTTTTTGCTTGCAGCAAGCACAGGTTGGTCCCTAGGCAGACACCAAGGGGATATTTTTGTACCGAAATGAGCTTTCTCCACCCTGTGGCTCTGATCTCCCAACTGACATCTTTCTCCTTTGTGGTTGCACTAGGATGTTTAGCAGAGCAGTCCTTGTTTTTCCTTCCTTACCAGTGCAAATTTGTTCCCCTCAGAGCTGGGATGGGTCTGTCTAGCACATGCTGTCACTGCACTTTCTGGCAGAGGAGGAGCTGCTTACACAAGCCACGCAGGGCTGGAGCCTCCCGTTGCCCCAGAGCAGACAGTTTGCACTTTAACTGCAATGATTGTTTACATGGCCCGATGCCTACAGCCTCTGCCTCTCTCCAATTTGTGCAATAACCGCTTTCTGTGCTGCTGCTCTGGGTGCTGGCCCATCGTGCTGTAGGATGGTGGGTTCTTGTGCTGTGCTCCTGCGTTCTGCCCTGCTCTGGAGCCTGTCTTACCTGGTTTCGGAGAGCCTTTTTACCCTGTATAATCATTAGGCCTTTCTGCAGCCTGTTCTCTGTTACAATAAAAATAGAGCTGGAGCACGGCGGTTGCTTTCTGCCTGTCCTTTGCTGCCGCCTCCTCTCTGAGCCACTGCCTAGGTGACGTGGCAGTGGCTTACGTTTCAGCCATAAAATGGCAACGATGGCACAGAAGAAGCTGTTTTTAGCAGCTGGGGGGGAGGGGGGGGAGACGG